TGTAGCAATCTCCTCCGGCTCCAGAGAAAAGTGTTACTGTTTCAGCTCCCCCTTGCTCAGCCCCCTGAGGGATGTCTCAGCAAGGTTCTATTCAGCTCCTCCTTGCTCAGTCCCCAGAGGGACTTCTCAGCATGTTTTTTTATTTTTTTTCTGCTCAGTCTACTATGGGACATCTTAGCAATCTTTCCTGCACCAGCAAATGAAGATCTTCACACCCAAAACCATTTGGAGAAAGAGATTTATTTGGGAAGGAGGAGTCCAAGAGAGTGGCTGTCTCTACCAGGGTGGAGAGAACAGCCTACAACTGAACAGGCAGGGTGGTTTGCATAGGTTCTCTTGGGGGTGGAGTCGACCACGGATTGGTCATTTTTTTCTGCTCAGGGATTGGTTAGTTTTGTGGGTCAGAGATGACCCTGATTTCAGAGCCAGGCTGTTTCTTTCACTGGCTTCTCTTGGCTTTTTGACACTAATTCTAAGGCCAGGGCAAATTTCTTTCACTGGCTCTGATTCTAGGGACCAAGAGTGTTTCTTTGGTACTGGTTTCAGAGTCAGGGCATGTTTCCTTGGTTCTGGGCTTGGGGATAAAGTGTTTCTTTCTCTGGCTCAGATCCCAGACCCAGGCTGTGTTTCTTTCCCTGGCTCTGGGCTCCAGGTTCAGAGTGGGTTTCTTTAGACAGCCCCTTTTTTCCTATAGCTCTACCATCTACCCAGAACAACAGGCTGGAGACCAAGCTTTTGGGAACATTTCAGGTCCAGACTGTAGCAAAGCATGTGGAGCTGTCATCTCCTCAAGTGCTTTGAGCTTCATTTTCTCTCCAGAATTTCAGTGACAAGAGAATTAGATCTTGTGTCTCAATCCTGCTGGTCACTGGGGCTTTTCCCCAGTATTTTTTCATATCACCATCTCTGTTCATATCTTCTAGTTTGGTCTTTTCCTACCCTCTGTCACTCCATTTTGCTGTTAAGTTCACTTAGTAAAACATGGTCATTATATTTTTCAAGTCTGAAGTTTACACTGGGTTTTCTTTATAACTTCTTGTTTTGCTGGTTGTACTGGCTTCTTGAAGCTATTTTTATGATTTTTTTCCTTAAAATTCATTTTGCACAATTCTAAAAGAGTTCAGTTAGAACTTAGAATTCAGGATTAGATTTAAATTCAATTTAACATGTGCTATCTTTCAGTTAGCATACATATTGTCATATTGGACTTTTAGTTTTTTCCCTCTCTATTTATTTAAGACTGGGTTTTTCTATGAAGATCTTGGTGGCCTGGCACTTATTGTTAGATCAGGATAGCCCCAAACTCATGGTTATCCTCCTGTCTCAGCTTCCCAACTGCTGGGATTACAGGTGCAAACCACTTGGTAATTTTTTTTTCAGTTGTAACCTGGACATTTATCTATGATGCTATGGGAATCCAGATCCTGTTTCCATCTTCGGCTTCACTAAGTCGCTTCAGTGGACTGTGGTGTTATCAGCATCAGTCTATAAGGCTGGAAGGTTGCTTTGGCTCCCAGTTCAGAGGTTTCCTCCTGTGGTCCCTTGGCTACGTTTCCTTCAGGTTGTAGTGAGGCAGATCTTATGGTGGGACGCAGAGGGAAAGAAACTGCTCACTTATGGCAGCCTGGAAACAAGGAGAGAGGAGGGGGCCAGAGGCTCTGTATCCCCAACACACCGATGGCTGATTTCCTCCTGGGCTCCACCTCCTGAAGGTTCTGTTGTGTGTACAGGTAGGTTATCACAAATCATAAGGATATCCACAAACTACATCTTCTTCATGCAGTGGCCTGTGGCGTGCATTCCTTCCTTCTGTCCGTAAAGTTGATCTTCTGAACTGAAATGGCCTTTCTGGATTCTCCGCTGCCCATTCAACTCTTTCTTTGGATTTCCTAAAATGTGATTTAAAAAGAAAAGCTCTGCATAATAATAAAACACATTTTATATTTATAACAGAAGTTAATATAACTCATTGCTCAAGAGTTGAATAGTGGAAATACGTAAATAACTTCAAACAGACTAGGGAAAGCTTGGGGATGGTTGCTAGATATATTTTTATTAAAGGAAAATCCAGGAGCATCCTTCCTGTTATATTAATCCTGGCGTTAGGAGCCGCAGGGCCCCACAGGTGCACTTGACCCCTGAAGTGGACACAATAGAGTCCTGGGCGACCCTTCTAGTGACACATTGATTACTAGTTTCACACTTAATCCCACTGACCAAGTACTGGTTCCCAGGAATACTGGCAGAGGAGAGGGTTTCTTCTTGGGTTCCCTGAAAGGAGTCCACACCTTTTTTTTTTTTCTTCTACTCCTATGAAACTGAAGATGTCCCTACAAAACCTTGGCCAGTGTGAACAGCAGTTTGTCTTCTGCAGTACGATGGAGTCTAATCTGTTCCCTTTCTAAGTGTCCTGTCTTCACAGAGCCCTACAGTGTGATTCAGGGAAGGCACTGTGGGGTGAGGTATTGGGATTCCCTTCCTTTCAAGCCAGGACAGTAGTGGGTGGTTGTCCTGAACCCTGCAGAGGACTCTATAGAAGGCTGGGTGAGGCAGAAGGAATTGGCAGAATGCTAAGGCACTGCCTTGCTAATGTGATTTTAGCCAATCAAAAAAAGCTTCCTGGTGACGCTTTTGTTGCTAAGTGAAAAGCCTGTGTGATGAGGCCTGGGAGAGCTGGAAATCCCCTGTGTGACACAGACTTCCCTCCACAGCCCCAGGACAAAGCTGAGGAGCTTCCCCTTTAGGATAGGAGTTATGGATATAAGATAAAAAATTGAATCTACTTTTAAAAAGGAACTACTTGTTTTAAATAGGATAAGTAATGAAAATTTTTGTCTGAGTTTATCAAATGTTACTGGACTGGACATTGTTAATATATATAATGGAGTTTTTGTCTGAATCTGTCAAATATTAGTGGACTAGACATTGTTAATGTAACTCTTGACTGTATATATTGTATATACTTATTGGATAGTTTTTCTTGTATTAGTTATAAGCTTTTTAAAATTTTAGACAAAAAAGGGGGAAATGTGGTGGCATTGTGTTCCCCAAAATATTGTGTACTCTAATAAATTTATCCGGGGTCAGAGACAGAACAGCCACAATATTAAACATAGAGGTTAGGCAGTGGTAGCACACACCTTTAATCCTAGCATTCCGGAGGCAGAAATCTGTCTGGATCTCTGTGAGTTCAAGGCCACATTGGAAACAGCCAGGCATGGTGACACATGCCTTTAATCCCAGGAAGTGAGCCTTTAATCTCAGGCAGAAAGCATAAAGATATATAAGGTGTGAGGACCAGAAACTAGAAGCATTTGGCTGGTTAACCTTTTAGGCTTTGAGCATCACAGTTCAGCTGAGATTCATTCTGGATGAGGACTGAGGGGCTTCCAGTCTAAGGAAACAGGATCAGCTGAGGAAGTGGCGAGGTGAGGTAGCTGTGGCTTGTTCTGCTTCTCTGATCTTCCAGTATTCACCCCAATACCTGGCTCCAGGTTTATTTTTATTAATAAGACTCTTTTTTTTTTTTGTTTGGTTTTTCAAGACAGGGTTTCTCTGTGTAGCTTTGAGCCTTTCCTGGAACTCACTTGGTAGCCCAGGCTGGCCTCGAACTCACAGAGATCCACCTGGCTCTGCCTCCCGAGTGCTGGGATTAAAGGCGTGCGCCACCACCGCCCGGCTAATAAGACTCTTTAAGATTCATGCCAAAAAAAAAAAAAAAAAAAAAAGATTCATGCTACAAGGAATAGGAGAGGCAAAGCCCTCAGCTTATTGTGTGGAGGTCTGAGGTGGGGGTAAGGACACAGACAGCATCCATCTCCAAGGTCTCTGTATGGCCCTGTTTGTCTGCCAACCATTCACATCTGAGTTTATGATCCTCCTTTATGTTCTGTGTCCATCCTGAGCACCACTGTTGGTAGGAGCCCAGGGGTGCCCTTCTGGTTCTCTACACCAGGGTGAACAGTGTGGACCCCAGCAATGCCGTAGTTTACCTGCGCTGCCAGAGCCCTCATTGCTGCTGGGTCCCCACCCCCTTTCCTTTTCCCTGGTCAAACCTGCTTTTAGGTCCTGTGCTCTGTTTAACTAGGATCTAAAAAGATAGAGATAGTGTCATTGAACAAGGGGCATGCTGGCTGGCACCGTGTGACAGGCATGTGGACATCCTTCTGAAGCTGCTGCTTCACATCTTTGGCTTTTTGTCCTTGAAACTCAAGGTGACTGTGTCTGAAAGTCCTAAATGGTTATGGAATTTTCCTTTGCTGACATCAGTGGACCTATTTTATGGTTGTAGAGGATTTAAACAGCAGAAGAATTCATAAGAAAAAAGTTGGATTAATTAACTTCTCCATTATTTTTGATGGAACATCATGAATGAAATAGATTCCTGAATGAGGAAGATTTCTGAGTCTGGGCCACAATTGACCTGCTATTTCCAACACTCACACTTGACAGTTTTCATTATTAACCACATCACATTACTCTTTACTGTGCATGTGAAGATCTAGTGTACAGTTCATAGAGCATGGTTTACATTTGACAAGAAGTCCAAGATTAGAAAGAGGTTCAGTGACTTGTTGACTCCCCAAGAACTCTGCTTTTTCACCTGAGACTCCTCAGACTATCAGTCATAACAAAGGATGATCTCTGTCCACTAATACATGGCTTCTGTTTAATTTTCCTACTAAAACCCCAAGTATAAGAATACTCGCTTTTAAATAACTATCCCAAAGTTGTCTATACTTGACTCATTTTTTTCTTTTGGCTCTTTAAACACTAAACACAGTCAGTCTGCAGCTTGGACAGGCTTACCCTGTAACTGAGAGGATCTGTCACCTCAAATGTTCACCCAGTGGGACTCCATGAAGATACAGACCATGCACAGTATAGAGAGCCTTTGTAAACAAATGTCTGCCTAGAAACTGATGACACACTCCAGCTCCGGTGCTGATTGGTTGCTCTTCTGAGACCACGCCCCAGTACTCACAGAGGCATCTACAGATTTTTGCTCTCAGAAAGGGGCACAGCTGGTGTGAGTCCTGGTGACTGCCATCACCTTTTCCTTCGAGATGGCTCTACAGGTCCCCAGCCTCCTCCTTGCAGCAGCTGTGGTGCTGATGGTGATGAGCAGCCAGGGGACCGAGGGCAGAGACTCCCCAAGTAAGTTGGGAGTGGGGTGGGGGGCTCTCTGGAGCCAGCACTCTGGGGGACCGGTTCTGAGGGACACTGAAATGTGGGGGGAGGGGATAGTAAGATCCTAAATTTAGAAGAGTCTTTTATCATAGATCTCCTTTCTCTGAAGAGAGGGCGAGGCTACATTCTCATTTCTAGGTTCTAGTATTGAAGTTGGGATCGTGCTACTGCACAGGCCGAGTCTGGCCTAGTGAAGTAGGAGAAAAAAGTAGGGGACAGAGTGTAAATCTAATACCAAGGACAGGACAATGGGGCGCCGGGTTATGCTTGAGGAAACAGCAGGGTTTGCCATATTACCTACCCACCCCCTGCGCCCCGTCCCACCAGCACTTTCTCTGGGGAAGTGCTAGATCCTGAGATGGAGAAACACGGGGCAGTGACGGTCTTGTAGACTTGGTATTTGAGGAAAATTCCTGATGTGAAGTGGAGGTTTAAGGGAGGCAAACTCTCATCTAACCCCGAGAGAAGTCAGCAGACGGAGTCTAAAGTTATCCACCAAATGGAAGTTTGAGGACAGGACTCGTGTTGGTAAAACGAATTTGCAAGAAAAAAAATAGACATAGACGGGAAATGTGTGATACATACGGGGAGACCCCTCAATGCAGCGTCAGAGGAGTACTTTATAGGAAGCACCCCTCCCAACTCCGTAAAGCCCGTGCACAGGGGTGACTTCCCTTTTGCAGTTATTCTTAAGATGCTCTGCAGAGTGACCTCCCCCCCCCCCCCCAGGCAGGCAGTCCCCCAGGTCACCTGGATTCTCCTTTGTCTGTTTTGCAGCGGGGCTCTCTCTGAGAATAAATGCCCCCTAGGGTCCGGGAGGGCAGGGTCGTTCGCAGTCAGGAGAGACTGTCATGTGGTTGGGTTGGGGTAGCAGAAACAGCCAAATATTCTAGTTTTCTTCCTATCATAGTTTTATTACTTCGTTGGAAATTTCGTACAATATATTTTATTTTATTCACCCCGAATTCCAACTCCACCCAGACCCAACCCCTCCTTTCTATCCACCCAACTTTGAATGTTCTCTTATTTATTTATTTTTTTAACACACCAAGTACAGTTTGTGCTTCCGGAGATATTCTTATCAGGACGAGAGCTCAGTTGCTCGACTCCCTCCCTTGAACTCTTCTTTTTGAGGACAGAAACGTCTGTGAGGTGCCCCGGAGCCCCGTGGAGGCGGGGTCCACTCTGAGTCCCGACCCCTCTAAGTCAGGCGGGGCGCCCTCCCGACCCCGGGAACCGAGTCGTCCATCCTGAAGCTCCGGCGCGGGGTCAGGCCTGGCTCCGGGGTCTCCGCTGCCCGGCGCCGCCCCTGGCTGACCGCGTCTGTCCGTCCGTCCGCAGGGGATTTCGTTTACCAGTTCAAGGGCCAGTGCTACTACATCAACGGGACGCAGCGCATGCGGGGTGTGGACAGACAGATCTACAACCGGGAGGAGTTCGCGCGCTATGACAGCGACGTGGGCGAGTACATCGCGCTGACCGAGCTGGGGCGGTCGTGGGCCGAGTACTTCAACAGCCAGAAGGATTACATGGAGCGGAAGCGGGCCGAGATGGAGACCGTGTGCAGACACAACTACGAGGTGACGGAGGTCCCCACCTCCCTGCGGCGGCTCGGTGAGCGCGGGGCGGGTCCCCGGGAGGTGGTGGCCGTGGGGCGGGTGGGAGGGGACCCCGCAGCCAGGGTTCCCAGCGTGAGGAACCACAGCCTCCTCTCTGTCCGCCCTGCGCCACACAGCAGCTCCATGGAGTCTCCCTCCTTCCTCACCTTTGCCCTTTGCCCTTTGCCCTGTGCCGCCCAAGCTCCCCTCTGACCCCAGCTCTGCTGCGAGCCCCTAAGCCAGGACACTGGTCAGCACCGACTCAGGAGAGCAAAAGGGAAGGGGGGCGGGGAGGCCACGATCCTGTAACTATGTGATTTAACTTTTGGCGCCAATTGTTCACCGCCCATCGGTTTCCCTGCTTGTCCCTTTGAGGCTGAGGAGGTCTTGTGCCGGCTGTTTGCTGCCTGGCACTAGCCGGAAGTCATTACTGTTATGTTCCTCGTGCTTTGAAGTAGACTGTGTTGACTTGGATCACATTAAAAGTTTGTGATTCAAAATCTGAGGGGGAAATACTAAAAACAACAGAAGAGGCGTCACTGGAGCCCTGGGACTGGAGTTACAGACATTTCTGGGAACTGAACCCAGGTCCTGTCTAAGAGCAGTATGTGTGTAGCATGAATCTTAACAGGTCTTATTAATAAAATCAAACCTGAGGCCAAGTATTGGGGTGAACACTGGAAGGTCAGAGAAGCAGAATAAGCCACAGCCACCTCACCCCGCCAACTCTTCAGCTGATCCTGTTTCCTCAGACTGGAAGCCTCTGAGTCCTCATCTGAATGGGTCTCAGCTGAACTGCTGCTCAAAAGCCTAAAAGCTTAACCAGCTCTAGTTCCTGGTCCTCACACCTTATACCTTTCTGCTTTCTGCCATCACTTCCTGGGATTAAAGGTGTGAGTCACCATGCCTGGCTGTTTCCAGTGTGGCTTCTCTGCCTCCCAAGCAATAGGATTAAAGGTGTGTGTGCCACCATTTTCTGGCCTCTATATTTAGTGGCTGTCCTATTCTCTGACCCCAGATAAGTTTATTAGGGTGCACAATATTTTGGGGAACACAATACCACCACAGTATGTGGCCTAACCCCAGCTTTCTCCAGCCCCCAGGCTTCCTTTCCTGAGGGGAGGGCGGCTGCACTTTGCCTACACCACCCTAGAACTAGCAGTTTCTTTAAGGGATCCTGGCTCCATTTCATGGGGACCAGCAGCATCCTGGATGAGGCCATTGCCCTGTCAGTACACTCCCTGATACTCTGAGAATCTCTTAGACATGATACCAATAAAAGGGTCTTGTGAGGCATCATATTCAGTCAGATTTAATACTGTACATCACAACTAAAGGCTAACACAAGGTGCTTATGTTTTTCCCTCTTGCTTTCGGGGCAACCTTGTCACTCAACTGAACTAGTCCATTGTTCAGTCCATTGACACTCAATTCCTGATAGCAAGGGAATGAATGCAGTGATGGCATCGGTAATTAACTCACTTGACTGTGGAAACAGAGGGGTTGGGCATGAGAGAACATAGGATGTCTTCAGTTCATGAAATACACTAAGTATGTACACTGTTTTCACCCAGAATGGATAAAGGGAATGCAGAGAGATGGCTTCTGAGGTAGTGGGCACAGTGTGTAAAGTCAGTTGGGAAAGACGTCTGTCCAACTGTGCATGACGGTCTGAGGAGATGAAGGAAGTGTTCTACTGGAGCTATTTTTGCAATTTTTCTTCAAAAATTGTAAACTTGAAATCACAATCTTTTTTTTTTCTTTTGTCTTACTACATTTCACATTAAGAGCAGGGCCACTCACTCTTATTTTCCTAGTGACCGTTAAGTTTATATTTGTGGAGTGGATCTTCATTCAGAATTAGAACCTAGGCATTCCAACCTAACTATTCCCCATTGGGAGACTCTATGTGGTCCCCCATCTCACTTACCGGCTCCCTGTCTATATGGCCCTCCCCACCTCAGTCACCATCTTTTCTCATCTGTCTCCTAGAGCAGCCCAAGGTGTCCATCTCCCTGTCCAGGAGGGAGGCCCTCAATCACCACAACATGCTGGTCTGCTCGGTGACAGATTTCTACCCAGCCCAGATCAAAGTGCGCTGGTTCCGGAATGGCCAGGAGGACACGGTGGGGGTTGTATCCACGAAGCTTATTCAGAACGGGGACTGGACCTTCCAGATCCTGGTCATGCTGGAGATGACCCCTCAGCGGGGGGACGTCTACACCTGCCACGTGGAGCACCCCAGCCTGCAGAGCCCTGTCACCGTGGAGTGGCGTAAGGGGAACTTTTTTCTTTCACTGTGGGCTGCACATGATGTGGGATTTTAACTGTTATTACCCCATCCCCAGTGCTACCCACTTCTATCCCTTGTCTTTCTAAGTCTGATTCCACTACTGAGCTGAGAACTACAGGAAACTAGATCTCTTGCCTCATAGTAAGGACATCAAGAGACCCCTGACCTAATTGTCTCTACTGACAGGAGTTCTGAGAGATCACTACATAACTGGGAACTCATCCCTAATATCCAGAAGAATTGACAGTGATAGCTGGTGACTGGGTATTTGGGCCCAAGATTATAGATAAGTCTGTGAGGTGCAAACATCCACTTAGCCCCTCCCTCTCACAGCTGTGTTCTACATCTCTTATCTGGCCACCCTTACTCATTCCCTTCATCACTGTGTTCAGATCTCTTGGCCCTTCCTTGCTCTAGACAGGGTCAGAGCAGAAAACCGAGTCCTCCCAGCTCCTTCACTTCTTACAACACGGGCTGGACTTCAGGCTCTCAGTCAGGGCTGTTGTGATGTGTGGGGTCAGAGCTGACACTCAGTCTTTGCTCCCCAGGGGTGCAGTCCGAGTCTGCCCAGAGCAAGATGCTGAGCGGCATTGGGGGCTTCGTGCTGGGGCTGATCTTCCTGGGGCTGGGCCTTTTCGTCCGTCACAGGAGTCAGAAAGGTGAGAAGCTCTGGGGAAACTGAGGGAGGTGGACTGTGCTGAGGGAGGGAGCTGGGCTGGGGAGGGGCATGAGAGACCCTGGGGGAGGGTGGTCACTGGAATCTGACTTTGCTGATTGTGTGGCTGTGCCACAGTTATGGTGAAGCCCATCCTGGGACTTCCATCACTGTCCACTCTCACTGGCTTCTTTCCAGAAGTTTCCACAGAGAGCATGGGCCTTGCGTTCCCTCCTCCCAGTGGCAGTTTCCCCCATTGGGTAGGGGTTGGGGGTGCTCAGGGTCTTAGTGGACACAGATGAAAGAACTTCAGCTAAGGCTCATGTCCTGTTGCCCCTTGGGATTTATGAGAGATCCCTGTTTTTATAACAAGACCTTTCTCTGTAACTTCTTTTGTAGGACCTCGAGGGCCTCCTCCAGCAGGTAACATTTCAGCCTTTCACGGGGCGGGGGTGGGGTGGGGTGCAGGGATATGGGTGTGAGGGAAGTATAACTAACACAGTCCTGGTTCATAGCCTGTCTTACTGAGGGGTTGAGAGTGTCACAGCTGTTTTCTTTAGGAAGCTCCAAAAGTTGTCCCCAAGCAGGAATTGAGTGGAACCTGAGCCATGCCTTGAGTTTAGATAGTAAGATGTTGCCTGCTCTGTGCCCCACACTGGAGACTTTGGACATCGTTAGCGCCTGGAAGAGGCTGACAGTCCTGTAGAGGAGATGGATCCCTCTGACTTACCAAAAAACTCAGATCCTTCATATTCCCAGGAGTGGGAGGGTGGCTTCCCTTCCACCCCCCACACGTTTGTGTCCTGTGAAGCTCTGTCCCCTTCAGCTGCCTTCCCCTCTGCACAGGTGATGGGGGAGGTGGCGTGGCCTGGACACCAGCTTCCTTTGTCTAACTCTTGGGATCCAGGAGGAGAGTCAGGAATCTACAGGATACCTTTTGTGACCACCTCTCCCTCTCTTTCCCACAGGGCTCCTGCAGTGATTCATGGTGTTTTGATTGAGCTGACTGCCACATTATAAGACCAACAGCCTGCCTGCCTCTCCCTGCCCTCAGTTCCCGCCTGCCTGTGCCAGCCTGCCTGTCCCTTTCTGATTCAGAGTCTGGCATGGTGCCAGTGTGCCCACCAGCTCAGCTCTTGTGATCCTCGACTCTCCAGGGCTCTGTCTTTGGCTCCTGGACTGATTTTAGAGACTGTCTGTGTACTACAGCATGATCTACTCAGACCCCCAGACCTCCTGTTTCCACCGTCCCACACGGGCTGCTGAAGAGATGCGCTGAAAACATTCACCTCTTTTTCATAATTAAATGTGATTCTGAATTATGTGTATCCTGAGTCTCCCACTGAGTGGGGTTGGGTAGAGATGTGGGACAAGGTGATTCATCCACACTGTGTCTGGAAGTAGTGGTTTCCACTATGAAGGTAATCGGAAGCATCTTGTTAAGGTGGGCCGAGGAGACAGGCACCAGCTGTCACAACTTCATGGCTCATACTTTTGCTGTTCAGTGTCCTGTTCTCACACCACCCTAGCCTCTTCCAGGTTGGTGAGGACAGTGCAACTAAACATGATAGAATTGTTGGGGACTAATACCGTGACCTCTCATCACTGGTGTTCCAAATGCGTCCTGTGAAGTCACATTGATTGGGGCTCATTTTCATTTTTTAAGGATTAGAGGCAACAATAAAAGTAATTTTTGTAGTTGCAAATGATAAGAACCCAACTTAGTCTTATTTTGTTGATTTTGTAAGGCAGCTGGGTGTTGGTTTCAGAAGTGACTAGATACATGTAACTGATGAGAGTCATCTCCCCTTAGTTGTCACGGCCATCTGTACTATCTCCACTGCATCTCCTTGTCCCTGTCTCTATGGTGTGCTCTCTCCATCTTTGTCTCTTGTTCCTCTCAGGTCTGTTTCATTGCACTGAGCCTTTTCTCTCCATTTCTCTATCTACTCCCCTGTCATTTGTTCTTTTCTCTGTTTCTTTTGCATTTCTGTTTTCTGAATCTCTCCTATCACCTCAGATCTTATCTCTATGTGCCTTTCTGACTCTGTTGTATGTCTACCATGTTTTGACAATTTTGGGGAAATCCTTATTGACCAATCCTAGGTAACATACACAATGTTGAAAAACATTATCACATCCACAAGGATGTAAACAGCAGGCATTGTGTTCATCTCCCTTATTAGAGAAATTAATTTCCAGAGTCTCAGCATGGAGATGGTTAAATCAGCCTCATGGAGCACTTGGATCTCCAGATCCCCTCACAGCAGGGGATAAGGGATGATTTGATTTTGGTAGGCTTGTGGCAGTTTATGTTGATGGTCAAATTGGAGACCCATCTCTGGGCATATTTGTGAGAGACTTTCTATGTTAGACTGAGATAGGAAAACTCATCTTAAATGGGCTGAGGTCCCCAACAGGGAGAAAACAAAACAAAGGCAAGAGGGACATAGACATTCATCTCTCTCTGCTTCCCAATGGTGGATGAGATGTGACTTCCCATCCTCCTACCAGCCTTCCCCATCATAATGAGCAGTTTGAATCATAAGATAAGAAAAACCCCTGACTGTGTAGCTCCCTGCCAGGTGTTTTGGCAGAGCATTGAGAAAAGTAACTAATGTACAACCAAACAGAACAAGTGGCCCAGCTGTCTGTGGGGTTCTTGCTTCCCTCACATGCATACTATCAATACACAAGCACATGGTGTCATCACTGTGCTGAAATTCTTAGGGTTGGAATCCCTATCACCTGTGAACATTGTGACCTCTGAATCTTACCGTCATTCTCTAGCTTGTTATTAGGGAAGTCACTGCATATGGTGGCCTCTTTGAAGTGATATCAGCCCTGAGAGCTGGAGCACATCTTCAAGCTTTCCTTTCACCAACAAAGTGAGCCTATGGCTGAGAACATGGAAGACCACACCTCTAAGGAGCACGCCCCTCATTCACACACTTTGTCTAGAGGATGTTACCAGGATTTCCATCCTCTAGACCAGGTCAGAATGGGAAAGTAGCCTTCTTATCTTCTGTGATCCAGGCTGCAATGCAGGTCATCAGTCAGGGGCACTATGGGGTGTACAGACTGCACTTAGGGCTCTTCTCCCTGAGACTGTAGTCTGTTTTTCCAGAACAAGACACACACACACACACACACACACACACACACACACACACACACACACACACGCGCGCACACACTGCCCACAGAGGCTCGAGAGGGCACCAGGTCCCTGGATCTGTAGTTACAAATGATTGTGAGCCACCACATGGGTCCTGGAAACCTAACTCAGGTCCCTGCCAGAGCAGCCAGTGCCCCTAGTCTGTGAGCGTCTCTCCTGTCCCCAGTTAGAAGATTTGTTATCATCTTCAATGATTCCTGTTGCTTATATTACAGAACCCAGTGGGTGCTGTCCTTTTTCCCAAGTTGACCAAAAAGACCACTTTCCTCTTGGGGGAATGGGAACAATTTGTGCTGTATTTTCCTCAGAGCCCCCAGTTCTTATAAAGAGAACATTGCTTTGATCTTGCTAAGGAAGGAATCAGGGCTGGGAGTAATCAGCGTTTAGGGAGAACCTGAGGTGTGCTTTTTCTAGTTGAAACATAAAGAGGAGAGTAGGAGAATACATTCTAAGACATGCTTACAGTTCAGTAACTATCACCACAGGCTAGAAGATTCTTAGGGTCGGGTCTTGACAGTTATATAGAAACACTATTTGTTACTGGGCAGTATAATATTTAACTGATGATTTAATAAGTAGCAAGTGCAACATTTACAAAAAAATTTGCTAAGAAAAAGAATCAAGTCTTAGTAGGCACATAACTGGAGAACAATGAATGGTCAGTTTTGAGTATTTAGTATTGAAGAACTTCACTGAAGAACTTCTAAAATATATTTCTGTTTGACCTTGAAAACATACCTAATATGACTACAAGTTCAATTGTAATAGATGACTAAATACTAACTTGCATTTCTTTATATCCTAATTAGTTGATAATAACTTTCAAGGACTAGAAAATTACATTACATTGTTAAATGAGCTGTATAGGTACAATATCTTGAACAAGATTAGAATATATATGCAGCATGTCCCAACAAAATTAATCTCAAATTTGTATTAATATACAAAATTTGTATACAATATACAAAAATCCAATCCAATGTAAAATATTTAAAACTAGTAGTTGCTTTTTAAAAGTAGGATTCAGTAATCTACCTTTTTATCTTATCATTTCTATATAATACATTTCGATATCATATCCTCCTTTCTTCTTTTAGAAAGAGATTGACTATGACCAATAATAATTTTTAAGCAATCCCTAAACAAAGATGAACATCCATAATTTTTTTGGGAATGTGTGTGTAGTTTTCTAGGCTACTTCCTGCTGATTGGGAGTGCTGGTAGTCTTATGGGGACACAAAGAAAATTTAGGATTATGGTCAAGTCCTAACTGGAATAGTCTGTGAGGCTGTATCATCTCAGCTAGCCATCTCGATATTGTCCTGAGCAGTATTTAGTCCAAAGCCAATCTTTGTGGGAGGCGTTTGTCAGTTTAATGGCATTATCACTATCCTGATAGAATTTTCGAGCCAGGCAGTGGTGGTGCACGCCTTTAATCCCAGCACTCGGGAGGCAGAAGCAGGCAGATCTCTGTGAGTTTAAGGCCAGCCTGGGTTACCAAGTGAGTTCCAGGACAGGCATCAAAACTACACAGAGAAACCCTGTATCAGAAAAAAAAAAAAAAGAAAGAAAGAAAGAAAAAAGAAAAGAATCATCACTGTGGGACCCTATCATTATTTTGGAGACTTCAAAGTCTATGTTAGGTGTGGTCATGGTTCACTGCAGAAAATCTTTTTTTGTGGGACATTTTTTTAGATGATTTGTCCTTTTCTTTCATACGTCTCATTTGTCCAGTGTTCTTCAGATTCCATAGCCTTCATTCTCCTGAAAGACAAAAGCAAAACCCTTCCCCAACCCTAACTTTGTGGAGTTTCCAAATCTAATCTTTATCATTTTTAATTTATAGTTTCTCCTGAATTTTTTATTCTCTCTTCTATAGCTGTTCTATCACTCTAAGCAGTATGGGTTTTTTTTTTTTCAATAGGCATTAGGTTCTTTAATTGCTCTGGGAAGGAGTTTCTTCCACAATGACAGGAAAAGATTGAACGGAATTTGACATGGGGGCCTGTGAGAGGCCCCCCCAGGGAGTTTCCCAACAGCATAGGTAAGGGATTATCTTATCTGTTCCTTGTTGATTTACACTCCTTAGTCCAATGTCTGCCTTTGCCATACCTGCATAATCCAGAAGGGGTGTTCTGTTGGGATTATTCCTTGAAAAAACATTGTTTCTAGGAATGCCCTGTTAACAGTCCCTTTTTAGGTGAGCACATGTTGCTGGTTCTGCAGCTGGGATCCCATTGTCTCTGATCTTGGGGGTAGGGGTGGGCAGACACAGAACCAATGGCACAGGCTTCTGGGAAAATGCAAACAATCTCATTTACTAAACAAAGGACTGAGGTTTTGGGTTTTTTTTTTTTTTAAATAAGATTTATTTATTTATTATGTATACAGCATGTATGACTGCAGGCCAGAAGAGGGCACCAGATCTCATTACAGATGGCTGTGAGCCACCATGTGGTTGCTGGAAACTGAACTCAGGACCTCTGGAAGAGAAGTCAGTGCTCTTAACCTCTGAGCCATGTCTCCAGCCCCCAGGACTGAGGTTTTTAATGTGTGGATTTTTTTGGCAGACTCTGCTTCCAGCTGCTCTGGCATTTCTTGCTTGGCTCCAGGCTGCATATCATCATTTTTTGGTCTGGAGCTTATGGGTCGGGTTTCCCCTGGCCAGAATGCTCTCTGTGCATGTCACAGCTCTTTGTTTAAGGCATGGTTCAGTGCTTTCAACCTTACCTACCTCAGCCATGTTTACCACAATTAAAACATTTGACATTACTATTTTTCTTCAAACCTCTGTAAGTCTCCTCTCCTATTCAACATCATTATGGTCATGAGATTCAATATTAATTCTATCTTGAATCCATTCCTCCAATGGTGCTGATCTTGCCTTTAACAGCCTAATTACCTTTTTGTGTTTTGCATTAGCATTTTCAAAAGCCAGAGATTCAATTATTATCTGTCTAGTTTCTGAATTTGGTATCATTCTACTTACTATTGAAGTCAGTCTTTGTAAGAAATCAGTGAATGTTTCTTTTGGACCCTGTATAACTTTAGTAAATGATTCAATTTTCTTTCCTTCTTCTTCAGTTCTGTCCCAATCATTCAAGGCTGCTGTGTGGCATAAAGTCAGAGTGTGGTCATCATGTA